ATCCTGACCAACCAAGACTTTTATGTCCTGAAAAACTGCCTTTCAAAATTGATGGAGAAATAAGGTATTTCCAAGACAAAGGGCATCTTAAGAAATTCATGATCATCAAACCAGCACTCCAAAAAATTCTCAAGGGTATCCTAGAAAGAGACAATGAAGCTAACAATGCCCAAAAGTCTAATAGAATGAATATACCAGGCAGGTGAGCAGTTAAACAAAAGAGAAAAAAAAAAAGATAATAGCAACAGAAAAATAATGCAGTGACAGAAATAAGTCAAAACCTTTCAGTAATAACTGTCAATGTGAATGGTCTTAATTTCCCAACTAAAACACACAGATTGGCAGAATGGATCAAGAAACAACACCCAGTGATATGGTATGCAAGAAACACATTTAATCCCAAAAGAAATTTATAGACTAAAAGAAAAAAGATGGAAGGCCGGGGATTTAGCTCAGTGGTTCCACCGCTTGCCTCTCAAGCACAAGGTCCCTAGTTCAATCCTCGGTACCAAAAAAACCCATATACTAGCCAATAAAGTATGCTTAAGCAAATACAAAATCACTGAAATTATCTCATGGATATTATCGTAGCACAATGAAACTAGAAATCAATGGTAAAAGAACCCACAGAAATTGTGCAAATGCATGGAAATTAAACAGTATATTCTCTTCAATAATCACTAGGTCACAGAAGAAATCAAGGAACATATTAGTTCCTAGAATCAAATGATAACACCAATACAACATAGCAGAATTTATGGGACACAATGAAAGCAGCCTAAGAGGAAAGTGTATATCTCTGGCTACATCAGAAAAACAGACCAAGCCTAAATAAATAACCTAATGACATACCTGAAGGTCCTAGAAAAACAAGAACAATCCAAATCCAAAGCTAGTACAAGAAAGGATATTATAAAGAGTAGAATTAATGAAACTGATTTAAAAAGACAATACAAAGAATCAAGAATCAAAGAGTTGGTTCTTTGAAAGAATAAGCAAAATAGACAAACCCTTAGCCATCTTACAAAGAGAGAGACAGAGAGAGAGGCAAATAAATGCAATAAAAAAGGAAGAAAATAAAATCACAATGGGCACTGCCAAAATCTAGAAGATTATTAGCAACTACTTCCAAAACCTGCATGCCAATAAACTGAACAATTTGAAGAAATGAATAGACTCCTAGATACATATGAATTACCAAAACTTAACCAAGATTTTAAAACCCTGAATAATCCAGTAATAGGAAATGAAATTTAAGCAATAATAAAAATCCTACCAACTAAGAAAAGCCCAGGTCCTGATGGATACACTGCTGAATTCTGTAAGAACTTTAGGGAAGATCTAACACCAATACTCTTTAAACTCTTTAATGAAATTAAAAAAGAAAGAGGAAAATAGGGACTGGAAAAGCTGCCTGGGGAAGTAGGCATGACCTGTCAATTACAAAATTCCAGTACACAAATCAGAATAGTTCCCAAATCTCTGCATGTGGACATCTCCCTAGAACTCAAGTAGGTATTTGATCAGACGGCCCGGACCTGAGATCAGCCTGAGGAGAAGAAATACAAAAAGCACAGTGAACTCTTTGCTACTGTGTCCCTTCACTATACCCTGCTCTCTCCTCTAAAGTGTACTTATTTTCCTACTTTTACTTGACCCAAATTCGCTCTGCAGACCCTTTTCCTTTTCTTATATAACTGCAAAACACTGCAAACAAACAAACAAACAAACAAATAAGGAGTATTCCCAGAGTTATTCCTGGCTAGCAGTACCCTGATTCCAAAAACAGACAAGGATCCAATTAAAAAAGAGAACTATAGATCAATCTCTTTAATGAACACAGATGCGAATATCCTCAACAAAATACTGGTAAACACGCTGGGGATTTAGCTCAGTGGTGCCGCACCTGCCTCACAGGTGCGAGGTCCTGAGTTCAATCCCTGGTAACAAAAAAAAAACAACAAAAAATACTGGTAAACTCAATGCAACAAATCATCAAAAAGATCATGCATCATGACCAAGAAAGCATCAAGATGCAAGGATGGCTCTAAATATGCAAATCAATAAATATAATACATCACATAAACAGAAGCCAAGGACAAAAATCACATGATTGTCTCAATAGATGCAGAAAATTTTTTTTGACAAAATACAACATCCATTCATAATAAAACTGAAAAAAATAGGTATATAAGGACATTATCTCAATCTGATAAAAGCTATTTATAAACCTGGCAATATCATATCAAATGGAGAAAACTGAAAGCTTTTTCTCTAAAATCAGGAACAAGACAAGGATGTCCACTACCACCACTCCTGTTCAATACAGTACTCCAAACATTAGTCAAAGCAACCAGGCAAGAGAAAGAAATAAAAGGGATATATATAGGAAACTATCCTTATTTGCAGAAGACATGATCCTTTACACAGAAGATGAAAAAAAGTCCACCAAAAGGCTTCTGTCTTACTTTCTCATTGCTGAGACAAACACCCAATACCCAAAGTTAAAGGAAGAAAGGTTTATTTTGGCTTACAGTTTATAGAGGTTTCAGTCCATAGTCGGCTGGCTCCAAGGAAGGGATGGCAAACAGACGTTGCAGAGAAGAAACAACATGGCATGCACAAGGCAGCAAAGGCAACAAGAGAGTTTCACAGCATCTCCCTGCCCCTTTTATCTTATTCAGACTACTTAGGGAAGGTAGCACTCACACCCTTAATCCTAGTGTCCTTGTGCCTAGGATTGCACCGTGAATCAATTCCAGCTTCACATACTCGAGATCAAGCCTGTGACCACTTGAGGCTTTGGGGGCACATCTAGATCCAAACTATAACATTCCGCTCCTGGACCCCAAAGACTCATGTACATGCCTTTACACACCCCTGTGCCATGCTGTCTGCCTTGAAGCTAGTTAATCAACTATGTCCTGAAACATCTGCAAACCATGAACCAAAATAAATCTCTCCACTGGATGTGGTGGCACATGCCTGTAATCCCAGCACTTGGGAGGCTGAGGCAGGAGGACTGACATGATTTTGAGGCCAGCCTGGGCTACATAGTGAGTTCAAGGCCAGTGATAGTGAGTTCAAGAACTACATAGTAGTTCTCCCTGAACTACAGCAGGAGACCCTGTCTCAATAAATAAATACACAAACGTCTTCCTTAAATTGTAGGTATCAGGTATTTGTCCCTATAATGAGGAAAGTAACTAAGATTTCGGCACAGAAGTGGGGTTGTTACTGTGACTACCTAACCCGTGTGGTTCAGAAGCCTTTGGAACTGCCATGTAGGAGGAGTCTGGAAAGGTTTGGAGAAGTAGCCCTAGACAAGCTTGATGAGAGATTCTTGTCAGAGCTCAGAAGACCAGAATGTGAACAGTAATCAAACGAGTGAAGACCAGTCTCAAGAGGTTTTGGTTGGGAATAAGGATTGCTTTGGCAGTTGGGACTCCTAGCCATGTGTGTTGTGCTCTGGCAGAAAATTTGTCCACATGAGGCTCGGGGGACATCTAAACACAAACCATAACAGGACCAACTCCCTCCATCAAGCCCTCTTTTAAGGGCATCTAGTCTCAGTCATAATGGAGGAGGCCTCATGTCTTAAGCACCTTTCTAAAGCCTTATACGCAGTGGTATTCTCTCCATCATGTAACTCACTTGCAGGATTTCAGTAATATACCATAAAGGCTTATGAAAATCAGTTGATTTTCGTCTTTCTTGATGCTTATGATTTGACATCCTCAGGCATGTGCTATGTTTCCTGCCAAAATACATATTTATATGTCTTCTTCACTTAGCCACCTAACAGCTGTCTCCAACTTCTTATGTGTCCTAGAGCACTGATGGCAAACTTCAAGGGCCATGCTCTCCCAGGGAGTTTCTTCTTTATAATTGGTCTATGGTGGTCAGTGAAGTATCCACTGAAGTACTTTCACCAAAGAGGGAAAAAGACCAAGCTAAACCATCTTCAGCAGCGTCTTGAGCTCATTGAAGCCGCAGTCAGGACTTTGTTTTCAGTCATCGGTAAGTGTGGGGTCTTTTGATCCAGGCAATCGCCCTATCATATCCAGAATCCTTATTTTCTGGACCCTGTGAAATAGATGAATTCAAGATTCTGGCTTCCCCAAGAACAGTTTGGACACCTGACATGAAGGCAAACCTTCTGACCTTCCAAAGAGGTGATGCAAGTAGAAGGAACAAGCACTGAGAGCTACCCTGAGGTGCAGCTTCTTGCAGCTGGCTTGACTTGCCCCTCCTTATATACAGTATGGCCAGAAGCACAGTACAGGCCTTCACCCAACTCATTCTGCCAGCCAGAGAGTACACAGTTCAGAGCTCGCTCTGTCCAAGGAAGGGCACTCGCTCAAGTCTGCCCTGACACATACCCTTGGGAGCTGCTTCCCTCCATTGGGCCTGTACAGGACCCTTCCATCAGTTGTTTCTGCTTCATTTCTGAGTTCAACCTAATTGTTTTTTTCCTAGGATCTCTTTAATTGCTCATTTGGCAGGGGAGCCCAAAGATGTATCAGCCACTCTCACTTAAGTAATAATGACTTGTTTTCATCTCTGCTACAGAATAAACTCCCTCAGGATCTGTGTGTGGCTGTGTTTCTATAGCTTCTTTCCCGTCTCCAGCCCCCAAAGGGCCAACATCAGCCAGGTGTCTACACAGATCACTCAGAAAACACTTTTTCTATATTGAAATAGCTGCACCTGAGGTAGCAAAGTCAGTCTGCTGACCTGTGGGCCATCATCACCACATCTAGACTGTGTTCATGCCTTCTGTCTTTTTGTCTCAAGGCTGCTTACTCTACCCTCCTCACTTTCTCATTTCCCTGCAGGGATCCTAGCAGAGCAGTTTGTTCCTGATGGGCCCCACCTCCACCTCTACCATGAAAACCACTGGGTAAAACTAATGAACTGGCAGCACAGTACTATGTACTTATTCTTTGGAGTCTCAGGAATCGTTGACATGCTCACCCTCCTGATCACCCACATCCCCTTGGGGTTGGACAGATTGATCATGGCTGTGGCAGTATTTATTGAAGGTAACAGTGGAACAGACGGAGAAATGGGAGGCGAGACAGACACAATTTATAAGGGATCAGAGTATAAAAGATGAGACATAAAGAAAACACAATAACTTTTCCCAACAAATCCAACTCTCAAGACCACCAAATCCTGAATCGGCTTGGTCCTGTGCTCTGGATGGTCCAGATGACAATTCCACAAGGCAGCTCACAGAAGGCTGAGGCATGGAGGACCTTCTCAAACCTCTGCAAGCACTGCACAAGCCCTCCCTGGCTTCCTGATGCCGCCAATGTATCCTCACACATGTGCACACATCTGTGCATGGGTGTGCATGCACCACTACTTAAAAAATGCCACAGGACTGGCTGAATGCTGGGGGTAGGGGGTGGATTAGTCCTTTTGGTTTGGAAGAAAAACTATACAGCTCACACCCTGGGGTGTTACTGTCCAGCCTGCACGACAAATCTCAGGAGACCCACTGTACTAGTCAGCTTTCCATTGTAATGAAATACCTGCTGTAGACTATAAAGTCAAAATCCTACCATGGATTCTGCAGACACTTTAAAGTTACTTCCTTTGCTAGTCTTAACATAGCCACAAAATTAAATGTATCCATTTGTTGCCCTGTGATGTTACACAAAAACTGACTTCCTAAATGCTAAATGACCCACCACTGAGATAGGTGGAGGAAATTCCTATAGTGGAAAAACCCAGGGTAAATCACCTCAAGTAGAAAAAAGCAAGTCTCTGATGAGTGTCCTCTGGTTTACCACAGGTTTTCTCTTCTACTACCACGTTCGTGACAGACCTCCGCTGGACCAACACATCCACTCACTCCTGCTATTTTCTTTGTTTGGAGGAAGTATCAGTGTAGCCCTAGAGGTGATCTTTCGGGACAATATTGTGCTGGAACTTTTCCGAACCAGTCTCCTTATTTTCCAGGGAACGTGGTTCTGGCAGGTAGGTGATTATTCACACAAATGATCCACACGAGGCCTAGGTGAGGGGGCCCCTTTGAGCATGCCCAAGGAAAGTCCTCAGTGTAACATGTTGCCTGCAAATACAGCAGACCGACCATGGGAACGAGTTTAGGTGGCCTTTTTCTCCTCCTGTCCATCCCTATGTAGTTTTCTCCATTAATAGTTGCATTAACAAGCAACAACCTGTGTACATCACATGGCAAGCACTGCTGCCTCGTATGAGACCAACTCACTAAACCGTCCACATGAAATGCAGGCCCTGAGGTTCTGCTGTGTGATTTAATTTAGAGCAACTTTCCTGCATGAGGTAGTAGGGAGTGTACAAGCCACTCCGGTGGCCATGGGAGAAGCCTGGGCTGCTGCTTAGGACAACTAACCACAAGACCAACATGTCCATCTAACCCACCAGATTGGATTTGTGCTGTTCCCACCTTTTGGGACACCTGAATGGGATCAGAATGACAAGGCCAACATCATGTTCATCACTATGTGCTACTGCTGGCACTACCTGGTCGCCCTTTGCATTGTGGCCATCAACTACTCTCTTGTTTACTGGTATGTTTGAGCGAGGGTGACTCTTGTCAAGTTTTCCATGCTAACCAACCCCCCAAAATTGTGATTAATGAACACATTTAATGTGTGTGCTAATTATATGCCTAATTTTATGAAAGACACTCTATGGTTGCAAGGTGGTTATCACAAGTCTGATTTGCAACTGAGTGTGATGAGGCTTGGTGCCTGACCTGCCTGGGTCACAGTCAACTTTTAAACCTGTGGTGAAATTGGGGGAAACGCTGAGCTGGTAATCAGTACTGAGCTGTAGACCCTGTTCTGTCATTTCATCCTGGACCCATCACTGACTTCTGGACTTGCCTTGCCTTCTCAGAAACATGACTATCAAAAGACAGCCAGAGCAGAAGTGCTCTCTCTCTAAAGTGCTTGTCAGCAGTGTGGAGACTGAAACAACTATTAACTCCTATGTAGGCACCGTGTTCCAGGTGCTACAGAAAGCACTTAGCTATCTCACCATTTTATGATGTACTGTTAATTTTTTACAGAAGGGGGAACCAAGGTTTCAGAAGGCTAATTCACCCAGGTCACCCAACTAGAAAATGGCAGCACCTTGCAGTGCAAGGGTCACTTTTATTATATGTGCTGCCGAAGCAAGCACAGCAAGGGTCACTTTTAACATGTGGAATTATGGTTGGATTGCCTGGAGCTGCCTTTTTTCTCTTAAGTCCTCATTTCTCCAAACTAAAAGCAGACATACCTCACCTAGAAAGGATCCCACACAGACCAAATAGAATGGACTAAGGCCCTGGTTTCCTTCAGTTCTACTCTCCAGTCAGTGAAAACAGCAAACTGGATGGCAACAGACCTAAATTTAGTCTCAATTATGAAACTTCCATCACGAGTCCCTTTATTATTTAAAAATACTGAGAAGTCAGGTATGTAGACCTATAATTACTGTATGCAATACAGACATGAAGAAAAGGCTTTAAGGACCAATAGTCCTTCAGTGAGACAATAAGAAGACTTTTCTGGCTAATCTAATTGGCTCTTTTTATTACAGCCTTCTGACTCGGGTGAAGCGACATGGAGGAGGAGAGATAATTGGGATTCAGAAGTTGAAGTCTGATCACACTTATCAGACTGCCCTTTTGAGTGGCTCGGATGAGGAAAAAGATTAGGCCATGGGTAGATGGAGACCTCCTATCCTACTGAACCCAACAGCTGGAGAGAATGCAACTCCTGCCCTGTTCTGAGGCTTGCCCTAGCCTGTACCTACAGCACTGTATATTTGCACCTATTCACTTAGCTGAAGGCTCTAACACATGAAATTAGGCCTCTAGAGTTCTGTGTGTCTTGCTGCTTGGATTTTTAATCATAATTTAAAGTCTGTGTTAATGTAATACCCTTCATAAAGAATAATGAAGTAATAATACCTGCAAGCAGCAAGCCTGTGTAACTCCACATACAGAAACAAGACTGAAAACCTAGAACAGGAAGTGGCTTTCTGGAAGAAACAAGGTATGAATCCACCAGGAGATCATGCTGCTTTTGATAATTTGCTTTTTTTTTCCTCCAAGGAAGCAAGTACTTTATCAAAAAGATATCAGGAGATATGTGAATGACAGTGCCTTTAGTTTAGAACTACAATTCTAACAAGTATTTTTTAAAACAAAAGCAATTCACAAACGTTGGTATCTTAAATGTTGTTAAATATTTTCTAACTAACCATATCAGAACACTGCAATTCCAGTTGATAAGGTGTAAAACTAGGCCAAAGGTAAATTTTTTCAAATTAGGAAGCTAGTTAGCAGCTGAACTGAGAGTTGGAATCAGCTGTTCTAACTTCGAAGTTACCCTAATTAAAGAGGGACGGCAAATAAGAGGGCAGATGGGAATCTGTGTAATGAAGTGGAGAAAACAAAAAGTTTATGGATGGGCTTGAATTTTAACACAGCTGAAAGTAAAGCTATGAATTCTGAATTAGTAATTTAAGTCTTGATTCTGGATCTGTCTTTTCTAAAACTTCCTTCAACAGATATTTCACCAGCACTGAAATGGCTCTAAGAATTAATCCAGTATGTGTTCAGTAAGGAGCTAAGAAACTAGTATTAGGGAGAAACTTACACATGAATATATTCAGTGATGGGCACTGTCAACCTTAAGTACAAACCATGAGAGAGGAAGGAGGGGAGAAGAAAGGAGGAGTTTGCCCTACAGAAAGAAAAGGCCTGTTCCAGGCATAAAAAACAGTATTACAAAAACAACAGAAGCATAAAAGGACGTGGAGAATTGAATGTATTAAGTTCTGGATATAAATGGACAAAAGTGGGCTAGCACCAAATTGAAGGGTCTTAGAGACCAAAGAATACCTTCCATTTGTACAGCATTTTTAAATTCTGAGATGCACTCTATCTCATTTGGTCTCATCACTGCTTACACCTTAAGCCCACGCAATCCTTCAGAGCCTGGTCAGACCAAAGGCACACAGCTACCATGTGACAAAGCCAGTCTCTAGTATGACCTGACTGTCCAGTCTTTCTCATCACCCCACTCTACTTCACACAAGTCCAACAGAATTGATATAAGGCTCGACACGCTCTCTAGAAGAAAAACTGTACTTAAGGAAGGACTACCCAGCCTTTCAGAGTTGAAGTCACAGCTTAGGAATGAGTTGCTAAAAGCATTTAGTTATTATAGAATTCTTGGGTCCCCTTTCAGGATCTAACGTGGTTTGCTAGTTGAGCAGGAACTCAAACATCTGTTCAAATAGTACTGTGGGACGTACTGTTAACAAGTAATAAAAAATATGCTCTTGGGCCAGGAATTTAGCTCAGTGGCAGTTCCTGCCTCATAAGCGCAAGGTTGTAAGTTTGATCCCTGGTACCCCCCACCAAAAAAATATATGCTCTTTCCCTAGGGTTGGAGGTGAGAAGATGAAGCTGTTCTCTGCCTTACTTTCATAGCAAAGATACAAATGAGATTTTTTTAAGGGAAAAATATTTTAAGGAAATATATTCTCCAGAGTAAAAGACTAAAGTATAAAATATTAAAAATTTTTTTGGTACCCTTCACAGAGCTTGGTTGGGGATACCTTCATGGAAGTGATCAACCCTGGCATAAAATGCTCAAATGTGCTATTAAAGTATTCATCAAATCCTGTCTTGGGCATGTGGTCTCATTAATTTTAGCAACATCTGCCAACCAGAAGCCTAGATGCTCAGTGGCTGCCACCAGCAACTCTACAGGAATTGCTCCTGGCAAAATAACCAGCACAGCAGCCCTGTCGCCCACAGCCCTGAGGTCTGCACACAAGAAGCATGTGTGTGCCAATGCCACTCCCCAAATTCTCGGGGAGCAGCCCCACCCTGATATCCTGAAACAGCCCATGGGCCTTATGTGACATCCCTGTTTTCCAGGACACACATGTCAGCAACACATAGCAGACAGGCAGAGTACATAAAAGCGTGGGTAGAGCTGAGGCCGAATGCCACAGCTACTTTTCTATGGGATCATTTGTTAAATTCAGAAGGGGTTTTTAACCAGCAGTAATATCTGAGACAAGATATCTCAAATTTCTACTTTTTCTTGTTTAGGAATAGTCACATGGCTTTTTATGTGAAATATGACTCTGTAAGTAACAATGATGTGCACATCTGAGTACTATAAAAAACAGATGAACTCTCCTTTCCTCAGGTAAAAGGCCCTTTCCCTCACCATCTCTCACTTTTCCCCTTGCTTATTCCTGAGCCAGTTCTCCACACCCATCTGAGAGCTCACTCTTACCCTGTATCACCCTTGCTCTTTGGAATCCGGCTTTCCATCTCCCAACTCTGATTGTTCTTAGGCTAACCGAAGCACATCCCAGCCACCTACCCTTAGAAGGGAGCAGAAAGGGAACTTAGGATCAGTTTCATCTTGTTCTCCTTTTCAACTCAGACTCCCATCTTCACACAGTTAAAAGGAGGATGATGACGTATTTAAGATTTAGTAAAACCACAAGGTAACCAACAGACCACTCTAACTCTTTGCAACTTGCCCAATCACCCAACTTCAGCCCAGCTACCATCTAAATCAGGCCATTTCCACTTACCTCCCCACCCAGACCCCACAAAAAAATAATTACTAAAATTCTGTGGATTAAAGACAAAATTTTAATAATTTGGATACTTTCAAGATAGGGAAGTCCTGTCACTGGAGAAAACTTTGTCCATTACCGCTGCTCCACAACAAGAGAGTTGTACACAGCTATCCACCAGTACCTTCTGTATTTAGGACTTTCTAAGACTTGTCCTGAGCTCTACCTATAGCTGATGGAGCTGAGGTGGGAAACAGCCAGGAATAAATGACTTCAAAACCAGACTGACCTTTTCTCAAGTGGGAATGCCAGGCAACACCTGACCTTGTACATCTAACCCCTACTCCTGCAAACTATCCTCTGGAGCTGGGGTCAACAAAGTTTATTTTCAAAGGGCTATAGAAGAAATAGTCTGGGCATAAGGACCATCGAGTCTCTATGGCATCCATCAATTTTGCCTTCTGACTGGAAAGCAACCGTAGATACTACATAAATGGATGGGGACAGACTGTTCCAATAAAATTTTGTTTACAAAAACCAGTGGCCTGCACTAGTTTGTGATTCCTGTCTGAACTAACAAAAAAGTCTGTGCTGTGAGTAGCATCTCACTATCACTCCTCTGTGCTCTGCTCACAGCTCTGGACTTCATGATTTGCCACAGACAATGTTGGCAAGCGGAAGTAGGGACCACAATTAGCCCCAACGCCATCTTTAAGAGGCAGTATCAGACTAATCCTGTTTCAGGGAATCCATACCACCTTACTTCCTACATGTTTTCCCCATCTTACAGCCCTGTAATTATCAAGTTAGCCACCAACTTAACAAAATTCTTGCTATTTTAGCAAGTAATCAGTTTGGGGGAGGGGGCTACAGCCCAGGTTTCAATTTGACAAAGATGTACGACAGGTTCTTTAAAAAAATAAATTACACAAAATTTTCTGGACACAAATCTCATATCAAGACCTTGAGTCATAAAGACCAGGAGCTAAAAAATAAAACTTGTCACATAAAATGAGGCTCATTCACTGCCTGCCCACTGTGTAAATGGTAAGCCTTCCCTACTCTTAGGAGAGAACTTTGGCTTGTATGCTGCAACTGTGACCTCCCACACTACCGGAACCTTCCCTTGGACTGGGTAAAGGCAGAGTTGGGAAGACCGGAGAGAACCTTTCTTGGGACTCTACTTGGAGCATGGCAGCAGAATCTAGGCCACTCCTGGCTTCATCCTCCCACTGGCCTGCCTCACACAGACAAGCTTGGGGGAAGATGCAACCCCCTGCTCTCTTCCTTTCAGCCAGAACAGATCAGGTATGGTCCCTCCCACAGTCACTGCTGTTCAGGTGCCTGTTTAGGAGACGGAGCTGTGGTCACAACAACAGTGGAGACAGCTTTGGAGGAACCAGAAACTGTGCCCTGCTGCAGGTGGGATGCAGGGACAGTCTGGATACGCACCTGTTTAAAAAGAGAGAAGGTCTGGTCAGCAGATTCCAAGTGGGGTCATCAGTTAAAAACAGCAAAGTAACAGAGAAGCCTGATAATGGCAAAGAGTCTGCCTTGGCTCTTACCTGTGTGGCCTGACCTTGTTGCTGAAGGTGCTGCAACTGCTGGGCAGTGAGGAAACTAACAGGTTTATTGCCAGCAAAGAGCTTAGTACCTGCTGGCATGGTTGTAAGGATGATATTGCGGCCCAACCCACTGAGGCTGTGGAGGAAAAAAGTAGGTGGTAAGGTATAAGCACTTCACAGAATATTCTTCCAGTCCAGATCTAGAACATGTGTACTGAAGGACAAGAGAGAGGTCTAGTGCCCAGTGAAAACCGCAGCATTCTGGATTCAAATGGAACCAGTACTAAGAGCACCTTTCTTCCAGCTTCTATCCCTCCCATAGCAGAACAAGCCCAGAAAGCCCCAGAGCAATGAAAAAAATGGCATACACTCTACACCCTTGCCAAGCAACAGTAAATCAGGACCCTCAGAAAGGTGTGCTCTTGGCAAGGAACCCTCCCCAGCTCACCATAGTAGAGTGCACTGTAGCCCCAGCTACTCAGGAGGCTGAAGCAAGAGGACTGCTTGAGCCTAGGAGTTCTGGGCCAGCCTAGGCAACAGAGTAAGACATCATATCTTCAAAAATGACAGACTCCCCCCTTTCCCCAACAGCCTCTTCACAAAAGCTTGAGACTGCCAGGCAAATTTCACTATGCTCTCTATCCCTGTTTAAGTCAGGGACACAGGAACCTGTCATCTGTCCAAGGGGAGGTTCCTCAGTCCTGAGGCCCACTATATCGCTTCCAACCCAGCATTTGCCATCCCTTATCTTTTTTGCTTTTCTACCACTTAATGTATTACTTTTCCGTAGTTCCTCTCCCCATTCTATAATGTAAGCTTGGACAAACAGTACTAGGGGTTCAATAAATATTACTGATGAGCTCAAAAAGGAAGAGAAATGGTAGGGGTTGGGGGCAGAAACACCAGCCAACTTCCCATTCCATGACAAGGACATTAAAACCACTCGCCATTCCTTGCCAAGTTGGGCCCTTCACTATAAACAGCACTCACTTGGCTCCAAGGTTGCCTTTGATGATGGGGGCTGTGACCACACTCTTGCCCTTCATTGGCTGGCTAATCACAGAGAGTGGGACTGTGATCCGAGCAGGCAGCTTCCCCTACAAAGAAAGAGCAATCAGTTTCCATGAATAATAGCTGATGAGGAAAACCACCAACCATCAGCTAGAGAGGATGAGAAGGGAGGGGCAAGCACTATAGATGCTTTCAGGCCCTGATCCTACCAGGAATCTGAACCTAGGCAGCCCTAGTTCACATGCCAGTTAGGTGTCAACTGACGTGTCAGCATCTTCCTTCATGCTACCTAAGGGGCAGCAACCATGTCTCCTTTCATTAGGATAAAACCTGTACCTGAAACACAAAGGCAAATGTGTGTTCACTTATGCACACTCCTACATTTTGAGCCTGAGAGGCAGCCTACACACTTTGGTGCTCCCTAAAACATGGCACAGGGCTGGGAACACAGAAACTGCAATGAAACAAACATGAGGAAGGATGGGGTGCTCAGGAGTTAACACAGCAAGTGCAGAGCCACCCCCTCACTGGAATGCGGGCTCACTGGAGAACTATAGAGCAGAGCAGCACACAGAGGATGAACAAGCCACATTCTCCAGGTGCTTTCTGTTTCTCCCACAGATAAGAGAGGTTCGTTTGGGGACAAGCTAATAAGGTCCAAGAAGAACCACAAAGAAAGAGGACAACAACGAGGAGGAGAAACAGAAAAGGCTGGTCACTGCACCCACACCCTGTTCTTAGGCTGCTTCATTTCTAATGCTTGACTGCTTGGTTGGTTTTGTTTTTGTTCTCGGTGCTAGGGAATAAACACATGCTAGGCAAGGGCTCTACCACTGAATCTATTCCCAACCCAGTAATTCAATTTATATGTAGTAAAATCTTGTTTAGATTAGACCTGGAAAAGGTCTGGCCATCTCCCATGAGAAGACTAACTCTGAAGTGGCCAGGTACACTGCTCCAGGGCTCAGGCCACCTCTACAAAGTTTACTCAATCTGTGGCCCATTTACAGATGACAGCAGGCAGAAAATACCTTGAGAGGCTGCCTCCACAGGGATTCATTCGTGACTTTCATTCTGAAGGATGCTTACAACATCTCAGATAAGCAGTACAGGAACTGGAACTTGCTTAACTAGGTGACTGGTCAGGAGATAGGCACCTCCTACTACTTCCTGCCCTGCCAAATACTTTCCAGCTGTTTCTGCCTAGACTGAGAAAAGAGACACCACTGCAGACCTTTGTGTTAGGATTTAAGAAGGGACAGGGGCAGTAGGGAAGCAGTTTCCTTGCTTCCTTACTCCTCTTCTGTGATACAGGAAGTTAAACAATTTTCTTTTAAACCACACTGTCAGGGTTTTCTGGTTTGCTTACTTTACAAACATGTGTCCTCCTTCCTTCATCATTCTGGCTTTTAAGCAAAATTACTGAGCTTTTCCTATGTCACTGACTTAGAAAAGTGAAGCCACAATTTTTATTATTTACACACATCCCACTAGAATGGTGCTCCTTA